TTCAGTCTTTCACCATTAAGTATATTAGCTGTAGGTTTTCTGTACGTAAAGGAAAACTGAGAGAATAGGAAAAGGGGTATGACATAAAAACAACCAAAGGGAGAAATCCTCAGCTATCCCTGAACTTCTCAAAGTTGAAGTGAGAGGTACAGAACTTTATGGGAAGAAATGACAGTCCCCACACTGTCCTTCTCTGCAGGGTGGAGAATCTTGCCCTGAGATGCTGTACTCCAGCTCTTGTTACTCTACTTCCCGATTTCTCTCTCTGGCTCCACTCAATCAGACCCAAGGACACCTGGACCACACTTTGAGAGTTCAGGAAATGTGATTATTGGTGACCTCTTTCCCCTGGCCCCCATCACTGACTTCTCTGCTGCCAATTCATGTTCTAATTAGTTGTTTCCAGCTTGAGAAAGAAGGGGGGAGGGGAAGGAGGGAAGAGGAGAAGAGGAGTGGGGAAAGACAGAGAGAGAATTTAGTGGGAGCAGGAGGGGGAGGAAGGCATGATGATAACACATGCTGGGTTTAATAAGTCTCTTTGCAGATGTGTATTTCTGATGTTTTCCTGAAAATATTATTTCTGAGATTTGAAATATGGATATAAACCATATTGAAAGTATTACGGACTGTTTGCGTCCCCCTGATGAAGAAACCCATCATCACAAATCCCCTACAGTTCTAAGATTACAGCTAAGGGGTACTCTAGCATGTAGCCTAGAATAGCTATTAGGAAGTTCCCCAGAAACTATGGAAATTAGTGCTTACTTCTACCTCTTGCCAGGCCAGTTTTTGTAAAATGGGTTGTTTAAGGTTAAGTTTAAAAACTTTCCTTTGTAAGGCAAAGTATAAAACTGCTTGAATGCACATTTTGCCTCTTACCCTCTTCACTGCCCTTGGATCTGTTAACTATTGCTATTACTAAAAGGAACACAATCATTTGCATTAAGCCCCCTGATAAGCAGAAAGCTAAAAGAAAACTGTCCCTTGAAAAGCCTCCGCTGAACCTAGATAAGAAATGGGCTTTGCTGAAACTCCCTAGTTAACCAGAAATACAGTCTGCTCCCTTAGTCTTTAGATGGCAACTGCTTTATTTTATGCTTTTAAATCAAATTTATATATAATGTTATTTATTAAGTCTTGTGAACCAAAAAATTCTTAGTGTAAGCGAAGAACCGTAACCAACTGAAAAACATGCAGCTCCAAATTGTCCCAAACCCATTGTAACTTGAAAGAATGACAGGCTGGAGTGCAGTGGCACACTCACAGCCACCGCAGTCTCTACCTGCTGGGCTCAGGTGATCTTTCCACTTCAGTCTTCCAAGTAGCTAGAACCACAGGTGTGCGCCAGCATGTCTGGCTAATTATTTTATTTATGGTAGAGACAAGGTCTCGCCGAGTTGCCCAGACTGGCCTTGAACTCCTGGACTCGGACAATTCTCTCATCTCTACCTCCCAAAGTGCTGGAATTACAGATGTGAACCACCACGCCTGGCTAAGGTTACATTATTGAATGTCAATAGGCTAAGAAATAAACACACAGTTACTCACATTTTCTGGGAGGATTTGTGGAGTTAGTTAAGATAAGGAAGATAGTTAATGTAAATGACCATGCTTTTATCCAGTGTTGAGAGTCATGAGTTAAACAATACTTGATTGGTTAAACTATGGAATAGCAATACAATAGAATACTAGGTGATCAGAAATGCAATTACATATACATTCATAATTATTTCCAGGTAGCAAAAGCAGTTTACCAGACTGTATGTGGCAAGTACTTCTTTTGAAAAGTATAATGTGGCCAGGTGCAGCAGCTCACGCCTGTAATCCCAGCACTTGGGAGGCAGAGGCGAGAGGATTGCCTGAGTCCAGGGGTTCAAGACCAGCCTGGGCAACGTGGTGAGACCTCGTCTCTACCATAAATCAAAAAATTAGCCAGGCATGTGGTGGCACACGCCTGTAGTTCCAGCTACTTAGATGGCTGAGGTGGAAGGATCGCCTGAGCCCAATAGGTTGAGGCTGTGGTGGCCATCAGTGTGTCATGACACTCCAGCTGGGTGACAGAGTGAGACTCTGATTCAAAAAAGTATAATGTAAGGATAGTTAAAGAGAAAAACAGAAGGGCAGAGACAAATGGATAGAACAAGTTTGGAAAATTATACCCTAAAATTTCAACTGCAGTTATCTCTGGATTGTGAGATTACGAATAACGTACAATTTCTTTGTTATATGTACTTTCTGATTTTTGTTACAATCACCACATAGTTCTTTTGAATCATGTTTTTAAAGAAATCATTTGTTAAATGGAAAATTTTCTACAAATAACTGAGGAAGAGAAATGTTCTCTTACATTCAAAATGTAGTTTTGCATCAGAAACATTTAGTCAAAAATGAAGTACCCATTTTATCATCTTCTAAATTTCTCTTTGGCAGATTAAGAATCCTGAGAAAGTAGAAATATTATAGAAGAAAAATACCCCGAGAGAAAGCTGGCTCTGCACCAGTTTGGTCTTCTTCCTTCCTTTTTTCCATAGGCAAACACACATGTACATATACACAGATAATGGGATTTTAAAAGGAAAAGAGCCACTCACCCTCTTCCCAAGATCAGAAATCATTACTTGTTACATCTACCCCCATTCTTGAACTCACAACACCGTACTAAATCATAAATAAGGTAAAGTAAGATAAATTTATAACAGTCTCAACAATAGGTTTATTCAACCATCCTTAAGTAATCTTTTTTTTTTTTTGAGTCGGAGTCTCACTCCATTGCCCAGGCTGGAGCACAGTGGCACACTAATGGCCATCCCAGCATTGACCTGATGACTGCTGGGCTCCAGCAATCCTTCTACCTCGGTCTTCCCAGTAGCCAGAACTAGAGGACTGCGCTATCATGCCCGGCTAATTTTTTGATTCATTGTAGAGATGAAGTCTCGCCAAGTTGCACAGGCTGTTCTCAAAGCTGTGAGCTCAGGCAATTCCCTCACCTCGGCCTCCCAAAGTGCTGAGATTACAGTGCCGAGCCACTGAACCTGGTCAAGTTGTCTCTTAAAATCAGAAATCAGGAATAACTAACCTCTGAACTTTCCTTTCATTACATTATTTCATTTGACCCTCCGTACAAAGCTGCAATTGCATTTTTCCTTTTATGAACCAAAAAATCTGACAGAGACGTTAAGAAGCTAATAAATGACTGAGTTGGTATTTGAATCCACTTCTGTTTAACTCTAAAATGCACGCTTTCCATCACATCATTGTGTCTGCAAGGGAACTGCTGCCTCTACCCTCTCCTGAAGAAAGTGTAGTAAGGCAATGTGGAAAAAGCATCTTCAGAGAAAGAACGCATTAGCTCCATTCACTTCATCATCGTCATCAGAAGCAGCACTGGAGGCATTGTTTTTTTTGTTTTTTTGTTTTGAGTTGGAGTCTCACTCTGTTGCCCAGACTGGAGTGCAGTGGCCGCTCCCGGCCACCGCAGCCTCCACCTGCTGGGTTCCCGTGATCCTTCCGCCTCAGCCTTCTGAGTAGCTGGAATTATAGGTGCGCGCTGTCACGCGTGGCTAATTTTTTGATTTATTGTAGAGATGAGATCTCGCCTGCCCAGGCGGGTCTCGAACTCGCGGGCTCAGGCAATCCACTCACCTCAGCCTCCCAAAGGCACGGGATTACAGGCTGAGCCACCGAGCCCGGCTAGGAGGCATTGTTTTATGCATATTAGCTGATGTCGCCTTCCCCAACGACTCAGTGAATTAGGTGCGGTAATCATTCCCACTTTCAAATGTGGAAACCGAGGCACGTCTCAGACTGGAGCTCAGGCCATCGGGCTGGAGAGTCCACCTTCTCGACCACCACACCACAGAGGTCACAAGGCCTGAGGGAAACCGCATCAAAGCGAGAGACAGTAGCTCTGGACGCTGGGCCTGGCTCAAGGACAAACTGCATCCCCGCGGACAGGGATGGCTTCCTCCTTCGGAGCCAGGGCACAGCGGGGCCCGACCAGCACCCGGGACGCCGGACCCCCGACCATAAGGCCTTGGGATGCCTAAGGCCCAGGGCTTCTCCCACGTCATCACGCCAAAGTCGCCTGGCCGCGAAAGAGAAGGCACAGACGGCTCCCTGTGGTGGTCCAGGACCCGGCCGCGAGATGCCGCCTCATGGCACGAAGCTTCGGGGCGACTCGTGAGGACGCTGTCCTTGATTCTGCATCCTCCGCCATCCTCCACATTTTCTTCACCACGATGTGTCGAGTCAGTTGCCAGATAAGCTCTGAGGCTTCCAAACCTTAAGGTTCCAAACCTTCTGGTGAAATGGCTGCTTCACAGAAAGTCATTTAATGGATGGGAAGTTTGGGGCTCGGGGGAGTTTTTTGAGTCGGAGTCTCACTCAGTCGCCCAGGCTGGAGAGCAGTGGCACGCTGACGGCTACCGCAGCCTCGATCTGCTGGCCTCAGGCCATCCTTCCGCCTCAGCCTCCCAAGTAGTTGGAACTACAGGCGCGTGCCACCACGACCAGCTATTTGTGTGTGTGTGTGTGTGTGTGTGTGTGTGTGTGTGTGTGTGTGTGTGGTTTTGTTTTGCTTTAATTTAAAGTAGAGACGCGGTCTCGCCATCCTGCCCAGGTTGGTCTCAAACCCGTCGGTCCTGGCAATAACACAGTCAGTATCCACCGCTAAACGGTCCCACTCATACAGTCAACGACCCACGCCGGGTCAGAACCAAACACCACACATCGTCATGACAATCACCGCCAGAGAATCGCGCGCAGACCGCACAGCGCACTCCACAGAGCCCGGCGCAGCGCCCTGGGGGATCGAACACACGGGCACGGCCTGTCCACACGCGGCCGGACGCAGGCGCGGGACCCGCCCACCCGGAAGCATCGCGAGATCCGGCCTCGAGGCGGCACTGCGGCCTCTGGGCCCGGAAACTACGCTTCCCAGAAGACACTGCGACGCCGGCCCAATCACGACGCAGCGTCGTTGTGCTCGTGTGTCTGCGCCGTCTTCCGGCTCCGCGCGGCGGCTCCGCCGGTACCGAGGTGGAAGCGCGCCCTGGGCCGCGGGGGGCGCAGCTGCTGGGGCACCTGGACCTGAGGAGGCGGCAGGTGAGGGGCCCCGGAGCTTTCCAGGCGCCCCGGGGTCTGCGCGGGAGCGGGCGCCGTGGCCGGGCCGGCCTCGGGCCTAAGAAGAACCGGGACGTCTCGCCCTGGCGTCGGGCTGAGGGTTTTCCGGCGCCGGACTACACTTCCCGCCGGCACTTGCGCGCGCCCCGCTGGCGCCCCCTTTCGGCGTCCAGCCTCGTAGCCCAGGCGGGTGAACCCCTTAGGTGGTGTGTGGGGGGCGTCCCAGGCGCCCTAAACGCTGCGGGTGTTTTGTATTCATTCGTATGCGTGTTTTAAAAGAAATCTAGGACGAGGCCTTTTTTGCATGAGCTTCTCAAGAAAGTTGCAAGACCCCAAAAGATTTAGAACCACAGTTTTGAAACAGAGACTTACTTGGGGACATTTTAGATGGTCTTGCTCAAATTCTACGTCCAACAACAATGGGGAACGAGTTGAGTAAATCCTAAGCCATCCTGTGTGTCTAGGATATCCTGTTGATAATATAAATAGTGATTATAAAAGGGGTTATAAGGAAAAGCTGTCTATTACATGATATGAAGCAACATTCATAACTGTTTCACTTACACATTACTTAAAATTAAATATTACAATATATTGTAATCTCAGTGCTTTGGGAGGCCGAGGCAGAGGAATGCCTGAGCCCAGGGGTTCGAGACTAGCCTGGACAACTTGTTGAGACCTCGTCTCTACAATAAATCAAAAAATTAGACTGGGCACGGTGGCTCATGCCTGTAATCCCAGCACTTTGGGAGGCGAGGGAGAGAAGATTGCCTGAGCCCACAGATTTGAGACTATCCTGGGCACTTAGTAAGACCTCGTCTCTACAATAAATCAAAAACTTAGCCGGGCGTGGTGGTGCTCACCTGTGGTTGCAGCTACTTGGAAGGCTGAGGCAGAAGGATCGCCGGAGCCCAGCAGGTCGAGGTTGCAGTGGACATGAGCATGCCACCGCATTCCAGCCTGAGTGACAGAGTGAGACTCTTGACTGAAAAAAATTTTTTTTTTTAATATTTGTAATGTGACAGGCACTGTCCTATACTCCTTTACAAAATACTACTCGTTTCTTTATGAATTCAAGCAGGGGTTAGATAACAACACTCTAAATACTTGGGTGTTTCCAGTTGGCATTTTAATTTTGTTTTTAGCCCACATCTCAGTGGATGAATGGATTTGCCCATGTGTCAGTGGGTTCACTTCTTTTTGCTGAAAGTTCTTATATTGTACAGAGGATCCAGTTATGAGTATCTCTGCTTGTTAATGTTGCCCAACATCATTTTTGGTATTTGTTTGACATTCCCTTACATGGTTGTGCCAAACATGATTCAACCACTTGCCTACTTAATACGTACTACTTTTCAGTTCTGTTCTTCAGCAAATATTATTCTGCATGCAACTTTGTGCCCTGCTGTGTCTCTGTGGAAGGGCACGTTTATGTGCTGATAATAGAACACTGGGCCTGCTCCATCTAACTTGTCTTATTATCCCCCCCCATTTGTTGATTCAAGGTAGAGCTCACAAAGTGGTGTCTCAGACTAGTCTATGGGGCCCTTTTTAAATTTGGAAGTTGGAAATAGAACAAGGTAGACCTCTGAAGGTGTTACGTTTTATATATGAGACAGTTAGATGTTGGGTTCTGGGAAGGCTGTGTTCTAGGCTGAAGAATGCATATTCTGCAGTTTTTCTGTGCTCCCTGGCTTGACGAGAACCTTCTTGCCCTTAAGATACCATGTAGGTCTCAGCCACTGGAACAGGTCTGAGCACCCAACAAGACAGAATCCCTGGGTGTTTGGTGGAAATGGGAGAGAAAGGACCACTGGTTCCCAGCAGCTAAAGCATATTTTAGGATTGGGTGAGGATCACAGTTTGTCCCAACTCTAATTTTTATGGTGGGAGGAGGGCAAGCAGGTGGAAGCTTGTATCATTGGCATTCTGGGAGCTGAGGCATTCTAGCCTTTGATGTTTGCTCTTTCCTCCCCCAGCTCTGCCATCTCATGACTCTGCCCTTCCCCAAGAGAGGAACCAGGAGGAGGACCCAACAGCCCTTGAAATTCTAAAAGTCATGTCCCTTGTGAGTTTTCAAATCATGTAAATATTTGCTTTCCTTATTTTGAAACTTTCCACCTGGGTTCCATCCAGGAATTTGGTTCTCAGAGGTCCCAGCTTTAAGGAATAAAAGGATCAGGTAGCTCGTCCTTTCTCCCATTACCCCTTCATCTGTGACAAATGCTCATGGATTCATTCTGTACAGCATTCTACATCTCCTGGTGGTTTTCTTCTGGCCAGATGGAGCAGAAACCTATTTCTGTGTATGAAATGAGAGCATCTCTTGTAGGAATTGAAGTATGAAGAGGTGGAAATGAACACTTAGGAGTAATCACATACAGAAAAGCAGGGGAGGTGGTGTTGGTTGTTTTCAATATCAGCATATGATACAGCGTCCTGCTTTCAGAAAGACTTGACACTTGGGTGTGTAGTTGAGGCTTGGCTAGTAATTCATGAGAGATTAAATGCCAGTATTAAAGTCTAGTTTGAGGTTGAATGGAGCATTTGAATCTGGGTCATTTTCCATTCCCCTCTTTAGTTTAAGAGCAGGAAAAGTGCAGAGCTAAGGTTGATAGGTAATAGCAAGTGAGTTGATCGGCCAAATGGTCTGGCTGGATGGTTAGAGTTGAAAGAGACTTAGAGATCTGATCCATCGTCTGAATCCAAAATAAGAGGATATTTGAGTCATTCTTTTCACATGATAGAAAATTGTACAGTCAGTAAAAGTAATCTTCATGCTTTTTTTCATGAAGAAAAAACTGTGATATGTTTTGACATAATGATGAACTTAAATCTCCAAGAAATTTTTTTTACTATTTTTAAGAAATTCTTGACTTAAATGAAAATTCTAATATAGAAAACCCTTTTTATATAATTTTTTAAAATACTTTTTTATTCCAAAAGATAGAAATGATTAGTCTTACCTTAATTGTCTACTGTATGCTGAGCACAGATAGGGCAATGTGTTTTATTACACTGTTTTTTACAATAAGGAAAACTCCATTTGGCTTAATTTTAATTTTCACCCCAGACCTGTGCACAAGAGCTTTGGTTTGCAGTAAGAGGAGTGTTTGAGAATATTTGAACATTCTGTTTCACTAATGCTCTTTTCATCTGTCACCTGCTCACATCCAACTACAGCCTTCTTGTTCATGAAAACAACCCTTTCCTGCAAAGATCTCCTACATCTCCTCTCATCCCACTATGAACCATTGAAATATGCTGTTAGCATACATGCCTGTCATTCCAGGGGTCAGAACTTTTCAGGGACGTGGCCATAGTCTTCTCCCAAGAAGAATGGCAGCAGCTGGTGCCTGCTCAGAGGGATTTGTACAGAGACGTGATGTTGGAGACCTATAGCAACCTGGTTTCACTGGGTAAGGTGATCTGGTCTATTAGTTTAGAGGTTATTTTGGGGTATGTCTGTTCCTTCCTGGGCAATTCCTGAGCCTTTCAGTTTTGTGATTGGCTGGTCATTTTTGAGTGGTTAAAGGGTAGCGCCATCAACTGAAGCTTACATCTTCCCCTATCCTCAGGTGACTATCACATCTTTCTCTTGCCCTTTCTGCAACTGCCTGTCCTGGTTGATGGCCAGGACCTTGTTCTGAATTCCGGGGTCCCTATACCATATCTTTCTTCTCATCTCTAGGTCTTGCCATTTCCAAACCTGATGTGATCTCTTTCCTTGAGCAAGGCAGAGAGCCCTGGATGGTGGAAGAGGTGGTGCCAGGCCTGTGCCCAGGTGAGTAAAAAAACTGGTGGCAAGGGAGCAGCCACTGAAGGTATCAGGTCCGCTGGAAGTGGCCCTTTGTATTTAGAGAATCTTCCCTCCAGGTTGCCACATTTAGAGGTCAGTCTTAGTTGTCATCTTCTTCAACTTGTCAGCAATATTTGACAAAGGTGGTTGCTTCTTCCTCCCTGAAACATTTAAAAATTCAACCAGCATATAGGGCTAAACAGTACAAATATGGTGGTTCCTAAGGAAAATATTTTCTCTATGGAAAGATGTCTATGTCCTTTTTCCATTTTCCCAAAGGAACCTATACTGGTTAGTTGTTTGAATTTTGGAGAGTCAGTCAACAAGTATTTATTAAGCTTTTATTATACACCACAGAGTATGCCACAGTATACATTGGTGAAGCAGGCAGACGTTATCTCTGCCATCATGGAACTTATACTGTAGTGATGAAATAGACATTAAAATACACACAGACAAATATGTGAAAGAAAAAGAACAGGTTCAGTTGTGATGCATGACAGAGGCAATGGCCTCTTCAAGGATAAGGCATTTCAGCTAAGACATGGAAGGTGAATTGTAGCTGGGGAAATATCAGTTGTAGCAAGTGAGTGTGAAGGACCTGAGCAGGGAGAGACATAGGCACCTCAGAGTGACTGGATGGCCCATGTGGCTGGAGTTGATGAGCAAAAGGAGGAGCACAAAGAGATACAGTACGAAAGGCAGCCAGCCATGTTAAGAAGTTTGGATTCTGTACTCTGGTGAGCAGTGAAAAGCCAGTGAAGAAGTAGAGCCAAAGCCATGATTTGTAGGGACCCACTCTGAGAATGTATAAATACTGTGCTCTTCACACATTTTTTACCTACTCGTTTCAGAATTTATTGGCAGTTTTCTTTTGGAACAGGTATAGCTGATAATTAGGGAATAGTGTTTTTTTGTTTGTTTTGAGTCAGGGTCTCACTCTGTCACCCAGTCTGGAGTGCAGGGACATGATTGTGACTCTCACCACAGCCTTGACCTCCTGGGCTCAGGCAATCCTTTCAACTCGGCCTCCTGAGTAGCTGGGACTACAGGCATATGCCATTGTGCCTGTACTTTTTTTTGTAGAGACAAAGTCTCATTATGTTCTCTAGGCTGGTCTTGAGTCACTGGGCTCAAGCAGTCCTTCCACCTCAGCCTCCCAAAGTGCTAGGATTACAGGCATGAGTCCCATGCCCAGCCCAGTAATTTAAACAAACTTTATTCTTCCTCATTTATTAGTTAACACACCACTGTAAAAAAATTCTTCCTCATTTATTAGTTAACGTATCGCTGTAAAAAAATAACTGATTTTTTCCCACTATTTATTCAATTATATCAGAGATTAATAGATCTTAATTTATTAAATAACAGATTATAACCCACTTTTATTAATTATCACAGTGTTGGTATTTTTTCAGATTTGGCCAGTAAGAACCCTGTCAGACTTGTTCCCAGGGTCTTTGAATGTAATTCCCATCATTTTTTTTCATAAACACATTTTTAACTTTTTGACTTTTAACAATTTAAATAAAAATCAACCAGTTAACATAAATATAGAGCAGGTGTACATAATTTACAGCCATGTACATATATGCAAGAATGACAGATCTCATATGAATCAACAGATATCGACTCTTTTTTTCTTTTTGATAAAAATCTTTATTTGTATTTTAGAACTCCTGGGCTTCATAAATTGTTTTTATAGTTTTTATGAATCAAGCATAAGGTGAAAATTGATAATTTTCAGATGCAAGAGTATGATGTGCCATCCCACCGAAACTTATATTTTAAAATTTCATGCTACTTATTATCATCAAGCATAAGAACAAATCACAAATAACTAAAACAGGAAAAACATAAGGACTTTCCTTTGGAAAACAGCTGAGAAAACAACAAAATTCTTTTTAGAAATGCAGAAAAAAAATTGTTGTCGCTAATATGCCCTCCTTAGGCATTAAGACTTAACATTTCTGTTTGTATCCTTGATTCAGCCATATTTTTTCTCTTTATAAAAATCTAGTCTCCCAGTTAGAACTTGGTATTTCACCACACTAATCTTCAAATTGTACCACTAAAAATGTTATACACACCAATCTCTAACCTAAAATCTGCACGATAGATTTTAATCACTGGAATGAGTAAATGGCTCAGAAAAACAGTACTGCTTCAATTGCAATATGATTTAGTAGTCAGTATTCCTATTTTCCAGGAAAAAGGGGATTTCATGAACAGAAACACTGGACTTCTTTGGGGTTCATTGATCAAGAGAATGTTTCTGAGCAGCTTCTGAACAAAATTTCTTGACAGGTTGATCACAGATCTGGGATCTTCACTATTAATAATGGCACTGCCAGACACAATCATGTTGGCTCCTGCCTCTGCACACTTTTGGACAGTGTCAGGACCTATGCCACCATCAATCTCTATATCCAGAGATGAGAACTGGGTTCTCAACCAGTGAACCTTTGGCATCATATCTTCCATGAATTTATGCCCTCCAAACCCAGATTCCACTGTCATAACCAAGGCCATGTCTACTTGATTAGCTCATGGTGCCAAATACTCAACTGTGTAAAGGCCAGCTTTCATCTCTTTATTCTGAATGTCTTTAATCAAAGCCCCTCAGTTCTCAGTAGCCTCAAGATGAAAGGTGTATTGATTGGCTCCAGCTACAGCCATTGGCTTTACCCACTGTTCTGGCTTGGACACTGTCATGTGCATGTCAAAGAAAGGGTCCTGGCCTAGCTGCTTTCAAAGGCTTTCTACCACAGGGTGACCAAAGGTGATGTTGGGAACAAAACGCCCATCCCATTACAGCCAGGTACAGAAATTGGCCCCAGAGTCTAGCATCCAGAGGCACTTGGCCCCTAAATTGGCCAGGTTGCTGGATGGGCCAATTTGGGGCTGGATGGGCCAATTTTGCAGCCCAACACCATAGTGCTGGTTCCCAAGAGCAAGTTCAGATATCAACTCTTATAATGTTGATTGTTTAGCTATGACTGATAGGTTATAATTCTTCACATATGCAGGAGTACACATTCAAAATTTTTTTAAAACAAAAATTAAGAGTAAAACAAGAATTTTATGTTTCTGAAAGCATTAGCATAATAGTGTGTAGATTAATAAGAAATATAAAGGCATGATGGAGAAGAGATTTGAGAGATTTGAGTACATTGTATTAAATACATTTATATATTAAAAGTCATTCTGCAGCTAAGAGCAGTGAGTGCCTGTAGTCCCAGCTACTTGGATGGCTGAAGCAGGTGGATCTCTTGAACCCTGGAGTTTGAGACTACAGTATGCTATGATCACATTTGTGAAGAGCCACATGAGGCCCCATCTCTAAAAAATAAATAAATAAATAAATAAGCTTCAATCCTTTGCATTCAGAGACATCTCATGGATAACCTACAGCAATTTGACTGCACCTTTTTATTAAGTAGTGAAAAATGAATCATTTCATATTAAATAGCATAGCATTGGAGCCATTTATTTTATTGTAATGATATTTGTCTTATAATGGAACTTTGGGCATTGAGGAACTTATTTATGACAAAAAAATCAAAATTTTATCTTTTTCTAATATATGGTAACATATGAAAGAGTCACCAATGTACATTGCAGGTTCATTGATATATGTGCAATAGTAATTTGTTTTACTTCTTCCACTGGGTGTTTTCTATTCAAGTAGACAGTACAGTCTTGTTTTCTTCCTGCCACATGAATAATTTATTTATTGTTATTGTTTATTATTATTATTATTTGAGTTGGAGTTTCACTCCATCACCCAGGCTGGAGTGCAGTGGCACACTCACGGCCACCCCAGCGTCGACCTGCTGGGTTCTGACAATCCTTCCACCTCAGCTTTCCAAGTAGCTAGAATTACAGGCGTCCGCTACCATGCCTGGCTAATTTTGACTCCTGAAAACTACTTCTCAACTGATAGATCAGAAGCTTGACAAATTTCAAATGGGACATAGGTTTTTCATTGCTTTTGTATGGAAAACTTCAAGGAAACATACATTTTTGAAAAATTTGCACTTGCATAAATTTGTCCTATATAATCACTAGCAGTCTTTTTATGTGTGAGTGCTTTGTTAGATTTACGATGTTCCCTCAGAGGGAATATTTGAGTGCAAAGGGTTAATTTAAATCATTTGGAAGTATCTATATTCTTAGGGATGTTAAAGTCATGATTGATATTAGAGAAAGAAAAAGCAAACTATCAGCACCTAAGTGGTCCCTACCTTACCAACAGTCCATGCAGAAGGGCATGACATTAACTTAGTATTAGGCATGAACAAAGCTGAAAGAGTTAAGAGGGAGATTGATTTCTAGCACTTACATCCTTCAAATGCAAGTCAACATTTTTAATAATTTAAAATGAACCTAAAAATGATAAAATGTTTACACTTAAGAGTCACCATTCATTATTTTTAACAACCAAAACTGCTGCTCCTAATGTAATAAAGTTGTTCCACGTGTCATTAGGGTTTTCTAAGAAGACAGAAAGCAGAACTAAGTAATCTAATAATAGTTCATCATGGTTGTGAACTTATAAATCAATTGTTTATGGGCCCCATCTAGTAGAGTTGGTTCCACAAAGTTACATACATAGTCAGAATTAAGACAAAGCTTAAGTGATACAGGTTTTTCAGGGATGCTTTTTTGTTTTTTTGTTTTTTGTTTGAGTCAGGGTCTCTGTCATCCAGGCTGGAGTTCAGTGGCATGATCACAGCTTACCACACCCTCAACCTCCTGGGCTCAGGTGATCCTTCCACCTCACACCTCAGCCTCCCAAGTAGCTAAGACTACAAGCATGCACCACCACACCTGGCTTTTTTTTTTTACAAGGCGAGGTCTTGCTATGTTGCCTAGACTGGTCTCAAACTCCTGCATTCAAGCAATCATCCTGCCTCAGCTTCCCAAAGTACTGGGATTACAGGTGTGAGCCTGTAAACCTGGCGTGGCACAGGTTTTTGAGGTGACAACAGCCAGCTTCAGTCCTGTAAAATCTGATTATTCTTTCACAGCCTCTATCATCTTCCATTATGGAAGCAATCTTATATTCTCGTAGTCTTTGCTTAATACTTGCACAAATACCAAAATGAATAGCAGTCTCTGAGATGCCACCATATGAAACAGACATGTGCCTATAAAGTCATCCAGGCCCGTCTGTCTGATACACTTTTTGAACACAGATTAAAAAGCACCCATTCACTTTCCCTTTTGGTTCCTTGTATAAAATGTAAATGATTCTTTTTAAGCCAAATGGGGCTGGTTGCTGTAATTTCGGTAAAATTTGCCCCATAGCTGAATTCAAGTATAAGGCAGAATCAGAGTTCATTAGATTATTCAGCTTTTTCTTGCTATTTGAATATGCAGCAGAGTATGTTCCTCTGGAAGGGCCCACCCCCAATAAATTGGGCCTAATCTGCTATAGAAGGAATAAGACCTCCTTTTCTCAAGGTTACCTTTAAGAAATAGAAAGGTCTAGGAGAGACTACTTAGTTGGCAATGGGCTTTCCCCATGGTGTTCCACTAAACTTCAAATACAAAAAACATCACAGAAGAAGACAGCAGCCATGTTATGACAACTTTCAGCAGACACATAAGAATAGCTGCCACTGTACCGCATGTCCTGGCAGACAGAGGTGCCAATATGTTCCTCTGGCTCTTTCTTTCACATGTCCTCCAAACACTGAGGTAGGATGCAGATCCAGCCATACACCCCTCCATCACTTTTAATTTTTTAAATTGTGATAAAATGCACATAACACAAACTTTAATATCTTAACCTTTTTTTTTTTTGAGCTGGAGTCCCACTGTCAACCAGGCTGGAGTGCAGTGGCATGCTCATACTCAACTAATTGTTTTATTTATTGTAGAGATGAGGTCTTGTCAAGTTGCCCAGGCTGGTCTCGAACACTTGTACTCAGGCAATCCTCTCGCCTCCACCTCCTAGAGTGCTGGGATCACAGGCATGAACCACCACACCTGGCTTATCTTAACCATTTTCAAGTGTACAGTAGCATTAAGTACATTCACATTGTTGTGCAACTGTCACCAACACCCATCTCCAAAACTCTTTTCATCTTGTGAAATCCCCATCATTTTTTAAAGTCCACTCTATTTGAGGTATAATTTATATTCAGTAAAATGCACATTTTGTGTAATATTAATGAGTGTTGACAAATTTATACACCTATGTAACCCTACCTTAATCAAGATAATGAACATTTTCTTCACCCTGAAAAGTTGCCTGTGCCTTCTTGCACAGTCCCTCATACCTACAGTCCCAGGCAACCAATGATCTGCTTTCTGTCACTCTAGATCATATTTGTCTTTTCTAGAACCTCGTAGAAACACTCATTTTCTTTAAAAACAGATCAGAGGTGATTCTGGTCCACGCTGATATTTTACGTCTACTTCTAATGACCTCTCTGATTACCCATCTCATCTCATTTATAGTATTTCCCTTTTCTCTGTTCTGCTTGCCTTTTCTAATTGCTTAGCCACATTCAAGAGTTTATATTCATTATTTTTTACTCTAAACCAAATTTTACTATAGTTCCTTTTTCTGGGAAAGAAAAAAACCAAATGTGTTTGTTTTACTTGTTCCTTTTCAGTGTTGGAGTCCGGATGTGATACCAAGGTATTATCTCCAAAGCAGCATGTTTATGAAGTTGAATCACCCCAGTGGGAGATCATGGAAAGCCTTACAAGCTATGGTCTTGAGTATCCGAGTTTCCAAGATGATTGGGAATGCAGAAGCCAATTTGACAGAAAACAGGGAAATCCAGACAAACATTTTAGTCAAATGATAATCAGTCATGAAGAAATGCCCACTTTTGACCAACACACATCCCTTACTTTTTATCAGAAAATTCATAATGGAGAAAAACCCTATGAATATAATAGAAAAGACTTCTGCCAAAAGGAACTTCTTATTAATCATCAAGGAATTCGTACTAATGAGAAGCCCTATAAATGTAAGGAATGTGGGAAGGCCTTTAAATATAGCTCACGACTAATTCAGCATGAGAATATTCATTCTGGCAAGAAACCCTATGAATGTAAGGAATGTGGAAAAGCCTTCAATTCTGGTTCAAATTTCATACAACATCAGAGAGTTCATACTGGTGAGAAACCTTATGAATGTAAGGACTGTGCAAAGGCTTTTAGTCGAAGCTCACAGTTGATTGAGCATCAGCGAATTCATACTGGTGAGAAACCCTATCAGTGTAAGGAATGTGGCAAGGCCTTCAATCGGATATCACATCTTAAAGTACATTATAGAATTCATACGGGTGAAAAACCCTATGCATGCAAGGAATGTGGGAAAACCTTCAGTCATCGGTCTCAGTTGATTCAACATCAGACTATTCATACTGGAAAGAAACTCTATGAATGTAAGGAATGTGGGAAGGCCTTTAATCAAGGCTCAACTCTTATTCGACATCAGAGAATTCATACTGGTGAGAAACCCTATGAATGTAAGGTATGTGGGAAGGCCTTTAGAGTGAGCTCACAACTTAAGCAACATCAGAGAATCCACACTGGAGAGAAACCCTACCAGTGCAAGATATGTAGTAGAGCCTTCAAACGAGTTTCACATCTTACTGTACATTATAGAATTCATACAGGTGAAAAACCATATGAATGTAAGGAATGTGGGAAGGCTTTTAGTCATTGCTCACAACTGATTCAACATCAGGTCATCCATACTGAGGAAAAGCCCTATGAATATAAGGAACGTGGGAGGACATTAAGTCATGATTCAACTATTGTTCCGTCTCAGAGAATGCATAATAGAGAAAAACATGTGAATATAATAAATGTCAAAAAGCCTTCCATCAGCACTTATCCCTTATTAATCATCAGAGAATTTATGTTGGCAAGCAATCATATGAATGGAAATAATGGGGGAAACCCATTAGCTTAGTATAGTCACAACTTACTTCTACCTCTTGGAGGAAGACTTGAAGAATGTAATGCAAGTGAGAACCCCTTCATTCAGAGCTTATTCTTTATCCTAAGTCAGAAAATTCATAACAAAAAAATGTTATGAATGGTAAACTGTTTAGACTATGATTGTCAAGGAAGCAGGGAAAGGCTGGAAAATTTTGTCTTTAATACATTCCAGAATCACGCTTTTTTTTTTTTTTTTTTTTGGTCAGAGTCTCACTCTTGCCAGGCTGGAGTGCAGTGGCACACTCATGCATGGCCACCATAGCCTCGACCTGTTGGACTCAAGTGATCCTTTCACCTGAGCCTTCTAAGTGCTGGAACCAAAAGCATGCATCACCACACCCGGCTAATTTTTTGATTTATTTTAGAGACAAGGTCTCGCCAAGTTTCCCAGGCTGGTCTCGAACCCCTGAGCTTAGGCAATCCCTTTGCTGCCCCTCCCAAAGTTCTGGGATTGCTGGCATGAGCCACCGTGCCTGGCCAGAATCACTTTTTCTAACCAGTATAATAATTTTAACAAGAGCCAAAAGTTTTAGTTTTCTTGAAAATAAAAAAAAGCAGCCAAATTATTCTTTAACAGTGAAATAAATCATTCGTTTACCATGAATGGTAATGAAAAGAATGAATTATAGAATTCATACAGGTGAAAAACTGAGAGATATGAATGTAACCAAAGAGATGTGAAATGTAGCCAAAGTTACACCTGGAGGAATTTTGCAGCCTTTAAATGCATGCATACACATGAAAACCTTTGTACACTATTCAAGACTACCAAACACTCAGGCAGTGAAGGAAAAAAAGTAACAGAAAAGCAGAAAGTGATGAAATAGAAACTGATCCTCTTACAATAATCTCAGTTTTATTTCTTCCTGATCCAGGAGTGATCTAAATTTAGGAGAGTGTTTCTGAATTCTTCAGTTGTTTTGGGTAATCTTACATGACTGTCACAGACAAATATTGGTTGCCAACCTTCGGCCATACCTAGTTCCTCTTCTTATAGGCAGTATCTCTTCTTGCCTTAGAATTTGAAGATACTAGATGCTAATTTTCTAACCTCCTGTGCAGTTCAAAATGGCCAGTATGTCCCAGTGTTGGCCAGTGGTATCTTCTGTGGCTTCTGGGAAAGATTCGCCTTATTCAGAAGAGACACATATTGTGAAGACTTCTTTCTCTCTCACTTCCTGCTTTTAAACATATTCTTATGAGAACATGATACCTGGAACTGCTGCAGCTATCTTGGAAGGAAGAGAAAACAGAGGTCTTCAGAGAAGCTGACCCAGAGCCTGACAACACAGCTTCTAGACCAATCTGGAACTGCCTCTCTGATGCCTTGGAATATAAGAAAAATAAACTTTTATTGCTGAAGTTACTTTTAGTTTGATACTTATAAAGTATGTAGCCAAAAGCATCCTTAAGTATGTAATTTCAAATTTTACTTTATTATGATTAGTTAAATGTGGCCTGAAAATATCTACTTTTTTGAATTTAACATTTTTCTTTGTGGCTAATACAGGATCCATTTCTGTATATGCTCCATGAACATTTAAAATATATTCTACATTTTTAAAATAAGCCTATTAAACCAGTGGATTACAGTGATACAATACTCTATGTTTTTATATAATTTGATAAACTGGATCAGAATTTCCTAAAATTGATTTTTTTTTTTGCCAAGATGTTGAATTTCCAGAGACTTTTGCTTTTAATTTGTTGTTTGACCTATAAAGACATATTACTAATCTTCAATTTTTGAATCATATCTTTATCATTACATAGTGTCCCATTTTGCCTAGTGCAGGCAAATCAAATCCAGGCTGCTGCATGTTTTAGAAGTAAAGTTATTGGAACATAACACATTTATACCACTGCAGCATAACTGAGTAGTTGAAACAGTCTATATGGCTTCAAAACCCATATTTATGGGGAGTTGAGGGGTTGGTTTTGTTTCATTTTTTGAGTTAGGGGTCTGACTGTCACCCAGGTTGGAGTATAGTAGCATGATTACAGCTCACTGCAGCCTCAACCTTCTGGGTTCAGGCTGTCCTTCCACCTCAGCCTCCTGAGTAGTTGGGAGTACAGACTTGTACCAGCACACCCAGCTTTTTTGTTTTCTCCTGAGGAGATGAGGTCTTGATATGTTACCTGATTGGTCTCAACCCCTGGGCTCAAGCAGCCCTCCTACCTCAGCCTCCCAAAGTGCTAGGATTACAGGCATGAGCCCTGCACCTGGCCTATATTTTATACTTTAGGTATATACTATATTTTATACTTTAGGTAAAACATTTCCCAACCTCTGGCCCAGGGTAATTCATTAAATATTTTATTTCCGTTTGATATTAATAATAATGTATCTTTGTTTACCTGGTTTGTTTTTGCCCATCTGTATGTTTCAACCCATCACTTTATTTTAGTTATATATATGAACATATGCAGTCATGTTCTGCAGTGAGCAAGCATATGCAAACCTACTCACAAAGGCTGAAGGAGCTGAGACTGAAGAAAGACTGGTAAATCCAGTGTCTCAGAAGTATTTAATAGGGACTTACAAACAAGTGACATCTGTGGTGACTGAGAGACGGTGGATTTTTGCACCTGCCCTCCAGAAAGTATTTATATAGGAAGCTTTTTGGGGTAGAACATGCAGCTAGTCATGTCTTAGACCCTCTTGTGAAACAACACTGGGGCAATTATATGACCTTGCTGAGGAAACACTTTGGTATGCAAGAATCAAACCTTGGTCATTATAGCAGTTTTGCTTCAAGATGGTGTTATTCTTGGTATGCCAGAGGCTGTTTCCTTGCAAGTCATGTGCTGCATAATGACATTTTGTTCATTGATGGACCACATACATGACAGTGGTTCCATAAGGTTATCATGGAGCTGAAAAATTCCTATCACCTAGTGACATAGCCAGTTGCATCATGGTAGCAACACAATGCATTACTCTTGTGTTTGTAGTGATGCTAGTGTAAACAAACTTGTAGTGCCAGTAGTATAAAAGTATAGCATATACAGTTAAGTACAGTACATAATACTTGATAGTAAATCACTATGTACTTAATGTATTTTATGTACTTACTATAGTTTTTATTATTTTAGTGTGTAATCTTACTTATATTGTAGAAGGGCAAGTATTTCAGGAAGTATTCCACAAGAAAGCATTGTTGTCACAAGTGATGACAGTTCTGTGCATGTTGTTGCCCCTGAAGACCTTCCAGTGGAACAAGATGTGGAGGTGGAAAGCAGTAATATTGATGATCCCGAACCTGTGTAGGCCTCGATTAATACATGTCTCTTAGTTTTTAAGAAAAAAGTTTAAAAATAAATTTTAAAAATGGAAACAAGCTTATAGAATAAGGATATAAAGAAAATATTTTTGTACAGCTGTTCAGTGTGCTTGTTTTAAGCTGAGAGCTATTACAAAAGAGTCAAAAAGTTTTTTAAATTTAAAGTTTAACAGCTGTAATCCCAGCACTTTGGGAAACTGAGGCGAGAGGATAGCCTACACCAGGGGGTTGAAGACCAGCCTGGGCAATTAATGAGACCTCATCTCTACAATAAGTCACAAAAACTAGCCAGGCATGGTGGCATGCATCTGTAGTTTCAGCTATTTGGAAGGTTGAGGTGGAAAGATCACCTGAGCCTAGCAGGTTGAGGCTGTGGTGGCCATGAGCATGGCACTGCACTCCAGCCGGGGTGACAAGAGTGAGACCCCAACTCAATCAATCAAAGTTTAAATTACAGTGAGCTAAGGTTAATTTATTATTGAAGAAAATATTTTTAAGTGTAGTATAGCCTAAGTGTCTACAGTAGTAGACAGTAATGTTCTAGGCCTTCATATTCACTCATCACTCACTCACTGACTCATCCACAGCAACTTCCAGTCCTGTAAGTCCTCTTCATTATAAATGCCCTATACAGGTGTACCATTTTTTATCTTGTATACCATATTTCTACTGTACTTTTCTGTGTTTAGATACATATTACTGCATTATAACTGACCACAGTATTAAGTACTGTAACATGCTATACAGGTTTGTAGCCTAAGATCAATAAGCTATACCATATAGCCTAGTGTATAGTAGGCTACACCATATTGCTTTGTTTATGTACGCTCTATGATGTTCACAGAATAGTAAAATCGTCTAGCAACATTTCTTAGAACATATCTCTACTGTTAAATAATGTATGACTATAGCTGATTTTTCAAAACTCATAATATGAATCTTTATAGAGAAGCTCACATTTTCATGTAGTGTAATTATTCAACTTTATTCCTTTCATTTTACATTGTGTGTGCTATTTATGTTACCTTGGTCTTTTCCTTATGTTGGATGATCATTCCTCTTTTCTCTTGCTACATTGGAACTTCCACTGTGCTTAGGTTAGTGGCTATTTCTCCATTTTTTAAATCATTATTTGAGCAGAATGAGATTACTATTGTATTTTCTCACCCACTGTGAATTTTATTTACCATGCTCTTTCAAGAAAAAGAACACTCTTACTTGCTCTTTCCCTGCTGCACATCCCATTCTTTCATCTTTCCTTCATTTCACTAACCTAATGAAGACTCCTAGTCCAAAGCTATTGACTTTGTTCTTATTTATTTGATTTCACTTATTTGATAACTTACTTACTGCCATAACCAGATTTCCATTTAAATGTATTTATTTTTTATTTATTTAGAGTTGGGGTCTCACTCTGCTACCCAGGCTGGAGTGCAGTGGCATGATCATAACAATCATGGCTCATGGCAGCCTCAATGTCTTGAGCTCAGGTGATCTTTCAGCCACAACCTCCTAAGTTGCTGGGACTACAGGTGTGCAGCACCATGCCCAGCTAATTTTGAAATTTTATTTGTTTATAGAGACGTGATTACATTATGTTGCCCAGGATGGTCTCAATCTATCTGCCTTGGCCTCCCAAAGTACTGGAATTACAGACTTGAGTCACCGTACCCATCCCCATTTAAATTTAAATATCAGAGTGACATTCACTGCTGGCCACTTTTTTATTGCTTTCCTGTGTTTTGAGATGATAGTTGTATTTTAAATGCCACCTAGACCATTTTCTTGGGTATTTGCATATATGACAGTAAATGGTATATTCCGAGTCCTGTTATGTCCAAAAAAATTTCTTCCACCTTCCA